TCGTCATTGGGGGCGTCGTTGTATTCATACACAATCACATTTGTTTGGGCTTTCTATTTATACTCACTTCCTTAGAGTCTGTGCCGAATGAGAATAACAAAACGTTTGGAGGGAATAAAATAATAATACGGTTAATAACAAACAGGAACTGAAGCCTGTCTTTGATAAAAGGTACATAAAACCAAATATATATGAATTTATATACAAGGTACGTAATAAAAAAAGAAATAGAATTTAAATTAGTTCATTGATGGTTTCACGTTTTAGTGGACCTTAAATTATTTAAACTAAATTTAACTTTTATATTATACATTATAGTTTAATTTTACATTTTAAAGTTGAAAAATACACAATACTGTAGAAANTTTATATTATACATTATAGTTTAATTTTACATTTTAAAGTTGAAAAATACACAATACTGTAGAAATTTTGTATTACAGATTAAGATTTCCTTAGAAATTCGTGTGATCACCAGATAATATTTTAATATTGATCGTCACTAGCAAATCGCTGTATACTTTAATGACACACTTGAATATAAAAACTGCACACATTAATCCTTATAAATTCTAGATTTCAATAATTCTTGCAAAATTCTGGACTTGAATATTAGTTGAACGTTTTTAAAAGAAAGATAATTTAATTTTTGACATCTTTATATTACATGTCAAAATTGTATGGAGTGTTCTACGTCAGATCTAATGATATGATTGTCATTTGCATTTGTAATTTTGCTATTAAAATATTTCTATTTGTTTGGTTACGTATCTTTGTCTCCATTGCAAAAACGCATTTCTAGACATTTTGTAAATACTATTCCGAAAATCCACATGACTGACATATATTTTGAGCGTTTTTGGAATTAACATCTTTATTTTTTCTTAGAATAAGAGAGTATTAAAAACCTATTTCCATAGTTAAAATATAACAATAATGTTGTATTGTTTTTTCTTCCTGTGTAATTTCGAAAAGTCGAGATAAACGATTTGGTAATAAAGACAACAATTGATAAAAATATTTTGTTTTTGTCTCCTGGAAACTAGCTCTAAAAACCAGTGATACATTTCATAAAAATAAATGTTATATTATGCAAGGTCTTTAACTTATAAATTACTGATACACATTGGTAATCTTGACAATTTTCACAAAGTGTTGTAAAATCTTATTTAGTTATTAATCGAAAAATATCGTAAGCGAGGGTGTAGAAGAAATACAAATTGATCTTAAATAAGAAAATAATTATGTTTTGCGATATAATTTTTATTTTTAATCACGATAAATAATTTATTGAGTATACGGTCCGTGCATGATTTGTTGCACTCAGGCCAGTATTTTATAAAACAAAAATTTGGCTAAACTGATAATGACATCTAGAGAATTATTCAAGAACTAAAATCCTCGTGACATTTTTTATCATAGTTTACTTATCACGGAATAAATAATGGCATTATCTTCGTGCATTTAATGATAAAAATTTTAAACTCAATAATGCCTAAACATGAGTTGGTTTTATATTTTTACTAAATTTTTTACTCAATTAGTAGTTTAGTTTATTTTTATTGTTTTAAAATTTAGTTACTTAATTTTTTTTATCAAGAAAATTTAATGATGGCTCCAACTATTCAAAATAATACTACTCCCGATAAAAGACCGCAGCGGCCTGCTGAAAGAAGGTTAAAATTTAAACTAATCAGTCTAAAATAACTGCTTTTTAATTTAAAACTTTAACTCTAAATAATTTTCAGATCTGATTTAGTATGTAGAATGAAGTATTGCAATACACTTCCAGATATTCCATTTGACTTGAAATTTCTATCATATCCATTTCAACCAACTAGGTATAATTTATTTTATATATTTGAATAAAGTACAGTACTATTTGTAATTTACAATTTCTATTATAAAGATTTATACAATATAATCCAACTTCTCTTGAACGGTCTTATAAATTTGAAATTCTTGCTGATCATGATTTGGGTCTCAATATTGATCTCGTTAATAAAGATAAATATACAATTGACTATAACGCACAAATGGATCCTGCTGATGAAAAACTATTAGAGGAAGATATTCTTGCTCCACAAGATTCTAAAAGGTAGTGCAAAGAGTTTTTATATTTATATATTTAAAAACTTCATATATTTATTTTTTGAGATATCTTTTATATTATATTATCATTTTTAAAAGATATTCCAATATATGTGCATAGAAAACAAAATGTTCATAGTTTTTACTAGTGATAAGATAATTACATCTCTCTTATGATTTATTACTAATATTCTGAATAAGTTTGTTTATATAATAAAAACAAATGTATTAATATGTTATGAATTTGTTTTTAGATCCAGGCATCATGCAAGAAGTGTTTCATGGTTGCGACGTACAGAATATATTTCTACTGAACAAACTCGCTTCCAACCACAAACTATTGAAAAAGTTGAGGCTAAAGTTGGATTCAGCATTAAAAAGAATTTCAAGGTATACTTTTTTCCATAAAATTAATAAAAATAAATAGAAAAAATATCACTTTTCTCATACAGTTTTTATTTATTACATATAAATAAATAATTATATAAAAAAAAGACATTGTTTGAAAGAACAAATTTCATTAATTAACATTACTTTATCAACATTCAATAATTTATGCTTTATCATTATGTTTTCAAAACTTCAGTAATTTTCATTTCCATTTTACTGCTATAAATTTTTTCTGTGTAGTATAGTAATCTAAACAAAATTTAACAGTTTTGTAAGAATTTTATTTTATTTATCCTAAGAATTCAAACTATTTTTAATGATTCTTTTATGTGAAAATTTTAACCTAAATGAAAGTATAAACTTCTATTTATGTAATTTACTTTTTTTTTTTCAGGAAGAAACACTTTATATGGATCGAGATAGTCAAATGAAAGCTATTGAAAAAACATTTGAAGACAATAAAAAACCTATTGAAAAACATTATAGCAAACCCAATGTTCATGCTATTGAAACATTGAGTGTTTTCCCAGATTTCAAGGTATATTTTTTTAAATTTTTGACATTTCACATAATTGATGTAAACTAATTATTTCATTCTATAACTATTACGTTTTTATTTAATTTTTTTAGAATTGGAGATATCCATGTGCTCAAGTAATTTTTGATTCTGATCCAGCACCAATGGGTCGGCCAGTACCAGCTCAAATAGAAGAAATGTCACAAGCTATGATTAGGTATGTACATTTTTAACAATACTATAATTAAAAAAAGTTATTGATTAAAGTGAAGACAGTCATTTTCTTGAAAACTATTGAAAGTTTTAAATTTTCATAAAAGAACAAATTTTATAATTCAAAAAACTACAATATTATGTAGTAAAATATTGTTTTTTCATCCCTGCAAGGTTAAAAAATAGGAATTTTAATTTTCAATAATGGAAACCCCTATTTTTAGTTCAATGATATGACAGAAAAAAAATGTTCAAATAATTTTAGTTATTTCTTGTTACTTTTCAAACAATTTTCTGTATAACATACAGTTGTCATTTTCTCAAGAGTCACATAAGTTTTTATTATATTTACAATATTTTTTTATAATATTTATTTATATTTTAAATCCAAATATTTAAACAATTTTAAAACTCTAACAGTTGATTG